AGACCGTGTCGAATGCCTTACTGAAATCTATTAATGACACCAATAAGAACATTAGAAATACTTTATTACATCCTCTTCAGCTGACTGTTTCTTCTGACAAAGTAGTTACCTTGCTGGTCATGAAGGAGTTCAGGTCAGGCTGAGGAATCCTATTTACCAGCTCTGCACCTTCTAGAAGAGCTGAGTCAGACTTGATGCAACACTGCGACCTCACTAGTGACACATACCAGTCCTTTAATCATTAAAAAAAAAGGTACTGTCAACATAAACATCTATGCACATGCTACTTATTCATCATAAGTTCAACAGTCAGGCAACACATATGAAATCATTCACCAATGAGTATTTGAGATTAACTGACAATTCTGAGAACATGGACTGGATAGTAAAATAAGCTGTATGTAAATATTTTGCAATGAGCAAAAGCTTATTTAGAGCCAAGGCACTTTTAATGACTCTTTCTAAATGTAATCTTACTTTGTCCAGAACTACGTTCTCTAAAGCTGGTTGGTCTTCTCCATCAAGTGGGTGTGAGGTAACCAGAGGGGAAGGACTAGTTGTGTCTGGTGCTACCATAAGACGAAACCTATCCAAGAGCGAGTAAAGTCTTTGGTGCCTGAAAACAGAAGAACACATCAGCAGAGAGCTAACTTACTCAGTTTTGTAAATAATTTAAAAATACAAAGACATCCAGTGAGCCAATTCTAATCCTGGGAGAGAAAAGCAGTAGGCTCTTAAGTTCTCTGTTGGATATATGCAGTTGTATGATGCAAAACTGCAAATTTCAGTAGCTATCTGTAACCAAAACAAATGAACTCAACACCATCAACAATAAAGATTGAAATTTGAGATTAAAATTTATACATGCTTAAGCATCAAATGCAAGCTATTAAATTTTCTTTATGCAGTAAATCTTTTTAATGAGTAAGAAGAATCAAAGTTACTGTACAGATTATTTGATTGCAGACAAATGTTCTAATAGATACCAAACAAGGATTCACTAAAACAGAACTCTTAAATTTTTTTTTTTTTTTTTTAAAGAGAGAAAAAAAAACTTAGTTTATGGATTTATGTCAGTGTCAGGGCCTTGGGTTTTTTTGTTTCTTTTGAGTTTTGCGTGTGGTTTTTGTTTGTTTGGGGTTTTTTTCTTTTTTCATTTTTTTTTTTATTCCACTACAGCTATCAAGAACTTGTATAAAATCACCTGGAGATTTTTGAGTTTAAAAATTCAAATGTAACATGACCTATGAAGGCACAATACTATCAATCTACAGCAGTCTCAGGCTTTAGATTTTTTCCCTCTACTTCTTTCTTATTTTAGTCAACAGATATTAATCTCAAACAGCAATGACATCAAGAGGAGTAAATTAGGCTCTTTCCAACATTAAATAAGGTTTTTTCAAAAACTGAATAGTTTTCTCCTTTTAGCAGTTTACTTTTAAACAGCTGGGAGACTACACAGTTAAAACTTTCAAAACATCTGTCTGGAAAAAAAACTGAAACAAAAAACAAGCCCACCCAGCTTCAATGTAGAAAATTCTGCAAAAGTTTGAGGAAAATAAAGTTGTTTTCAGTAATGTAGTTTTTGTCAAGGAATTAATTTGCAGTTGCTGTCTCTCAAAATTTAAATACTGAGTGGGATGTAGGAGAGAGAATTTGATGCCTTTAAGTCTTTAGCTTGCTATAATTCATAAGTATATCGCAAATTCAACTCATCCAACACAACTGTCCTTGTGCCAGAATATGCCAGCATGTCATAAGAGAGGCTTTACTCTTGTTTTACCTCTAAAAAGGACCCATTATCTTATCTTTAAGAAAAAACTCAAACATAGGAAAACAGAGTTCATACAATTAGTACTAGAACATTACTTAGTTTGGCATTTTAACACATATTGATATTATTTACCTTGTTGCTAATCCACTGTTTTGAAGGTATTCCTGAATTCTATCCAGTTCTTCAACAGGTAACTGAGTAATGCTGTTCTATAGGAAAGAGTCACAAGAATTTTACAGGACAAATTAGTAAAATAAGCATAAGTACTTTGAACAGATTAGGAAACTTATAGACAGATAGAGTGAAATGTAAACATTCAAGTATTTATATATAGAATAAACTTCTTTCCAACGAAGTGGAAAGGAAATGGTTTTAAACTGGAAGAGGGTAGATTTAAATTAGACATTAGAAAGAAATTGTTTACTGTGAGGATAGTGAGACACTGGAACAGGTTTCCCAGAGAAGCTGTGGATGCCCCCTCCCTGGAAGTGTCCAAGGCCAGGTTGGATGAGGCTTTGAGCAACCTGGTCTAATGGAAGGTGTCCCTGCTCATGGCAGGGGGGTTGGAACTGGATGATCTTTAAGGTCCCTTCCAACCCATACTATTCTAGGATTCTATGAAATAACTTACAAATAATCATATTTTGATGTACTTTAAATCATTACACTTGATTACATTGCTAGCACTACCCAATCTTCTCTACAGATTAATATATTTACCTGTAAAGTTGCAGCCAAAAGCATTTCTACCCGACGGCAAGCCAGCGTGTCAACCATGCGAGCAAGCACACGGAATGGAGTACACAGAAGCTTATCAACATATAATGTTAAGACAGCCCCAGACTGGCTGAGATGTATTCCCTCTAAGCACTGTAAAGTCTTCTTCAGAGTTGTGGGCTAGATGTTGAAACAAAACAAAACAAAAAAAACAAACAAAAAGAAAAAGTTAGAATACAAAGATCTTAAAGTTAAAGGGAAAGGCATTTAGAAAAAACTACAGCAGACAACTAGCTCATCAGTATGATCATCTATATATCAATATAATCACCTATTAATAGGTCTGAGTTACTGGCTTATTTAATTAATATGACCACTAAGTTGTTTGATGTTTAACTGTAAAAGCTTACACTTACAAAGAGCAAGCAAAAAAGTAGGGAGTAAAATTTTTAGGAAAAAAGCTAGAGACATAGGTGGAATTGTGGAAGGACTTGAAAACAGTGAAAAACTTGGAACTCTTGCTGGAAGAAGGTAGGAACATGAGCATAGTCAAGATGAGACAGTACAGAAAAACAGATAAGCATTAGGGATTTTTTGAGCACAGGTTTAATGATATAAACAGCAATGGCTACTCAGGATTAAAAGGGAATGCAAATAATTTTTTTTTTAATTATTTTTTTAAATATAAGCACCAATTCAGTACAATTATTTAAAGGGAGAAAGACAAAGACAAACTAGTTTGACTCATGGAATTGATCTTGTTTAAGAGCAGACTGTAAATATAAGCTATTTTAATTTTACTGACTTTTCTGATAATCCCCAAACATTTCACACAATGACTACGTCTTCCGTTCAAACACGTTCAGTTCATTCTACTGATTCTCAGAAACTAAAGCACAGGTTCATCTAATCTAACTCTAAAGTGTTTTGTTCACATGCCTAAAGCACTGATGTAGTTGCATGGGATTTGCAGAGAGACAATGGGAAGAGAGAGGAAACCAGGCTACTCGGTGTGTGGTAGCATCTCTCCCCATTAGCTCTAGAGGAAGCCCAGGAAGTGACATTTCCCACCTAGTAGGTTCCCAGGATTAAGAAGAATCCATTCAACCTTACATCCTTATAAAACATCATCCACCCTTTGTAATCTGAAAACTAAAATAATCAATAGAAAGCATACACTGAATTTCTGAAGCAGTATTTCCCCTCACCAAGAGGCTACAATTTGTGGGGCAGATCAGTGGGGAAGGCACGAGCTTGCAAATCATTTTTATGTTGTTAGAGCCTATGAAGATGGACTGGGCCCTATTCCTGCCTCTGTGGTTAGCAGTTCTGTTATTTATGCTACCAAGGTACTGAAATCAAAGACAAAAGTTACAAGTTACAGCTTTAATTTACCCTTCAGATACTTATTAGGCAGGGGCAATACCCAGGGACAAAGAAAAGCAGTTTAACTGACTCTACTAGAATTCACAGATTTGATGGATTGGAACACATCTGATACTGAAGTTGCTAATACAAAGTTCACTGTTTGCGTTCTTGAAGAAGTGACTTTAAAAATAAAAGTTGATAAATGACCCAGAAACATCAGAATTTACACACTTACCAGTTAAACTTATACTGAAATATGAATTGTTTATTTTTAAAAAGTAAAAAAGTTAAACTTACAGCTGCAAGATTCTCACATCGTGACTGAATGGCCTGGATGAAGAGACCACTAGCTGCTGAATTCCTGTGAACAGCACTAATAAAGTCTTGTACTGGAGGCTCATGGGACAGATTAATCAAGTCTTGAACATGATTCACAATAAGCCAGGTCAAGTGTTCTGAATCATGTAGGTTTTGACACTAAAGGGGAAAAATTAAAATCTGATTTCAGTAGTACCCAGGTTAAGTGTTTAATTACTAAAAACTTTATCTGACAGAACATGAAGTTTTTCATATATAATTCTGGTAACTATTTTAGAATAATGGCATAAAGTGTCTATATTTTAATATTAACATTGTTATTTTTACATGACAAATTTTCAAAATGCTTTTGATCTTATTGAAAATTAAGACATTTATAATGAATTTGTAGATTATTTTTTAAAAAACACAGAAAATCCAAGTTAGAAACAAGTAAATTGAGAAGGTCAATCCAAAGATGCTTTTTATAATGAAATGCTGTTTGAAATAAACATGCATACACAGTCTTCTTGTAAAATACGATTTTCATTTAAGCTTCTTATTACTATTGGCCTTAAAAAAAAGATGAATAATTTCTGGAAAGCAAATTCAAAGAGATCTGTCAATAAGCAGTGTAATGCAACTTGAAAAGATCTGTAGGGCTAACAGGTGATACTGAGAGGCTGACACTCCCCAGGAAAGAGGTTTTGAAGGGTTTTACCTCAGACTACCTCTAATCTGACTCTAGTGACTGAACATCCATCAAGAAGCACTAAGCATAGCTTTTAGTTTAGTTGAACCTGAAAGGAATGCAGTTTGTTTGCCCCAAAATTGCTCTGCGATGCAAACCAAAGTGCAACACTAGATATTACAGGAAGATTAATTTCAAAGATTCCTAATGAACTAAAATGCTAATACTGAGGCAGCAAGAGGCCAAAGCCACAGGAACTGCTCTCATTAGATAACCAAAACAGAAGTTAAACATTAGTGTAAAATCTCTCCTCTTCAGGTATAGAGACAGAAATTTGTTGTCTCCTAGACACTGTGCACTGCTACCAATGTTGGGAAGTCTAACACTACTTAGTGTGCTCCTAGCACCTCACAGTAAGGAATATGACCCACCGGGTATCCTTTCCAAGCCAAGAGAATTCTCAGTTCAGAATAGAAAAAAAAAAAAGCCAAATGAGGTCACACTTAAGTTTACAGAATCATCATCTGAAAATAAAATGACGAGTTTCACAAGTCTTCATTTTTCACTTGTGAACCAGACAGATTCAGTTAATGCATATCAGTAATAATAAAATAGTTCAAAACTATACTTAAAAAACTCATAATTCAAAACTTACAACATAGTCACAAAAAAGAATGAGTGCTCCTCTTCTCACTATCTCTCGATTGCACATGCCACGTTTAGATTCCAAAGTCGATTCATCACTGTCTCCAGATATCTGAGGGCTAAGCAATTTAGTCGTAGAAAGACTGTGTCTCCTGTAAGAAGCACATTATACTTTGTTACTGTTTTACTATTATATTTTATTACTATGGCTACTGAAACATTAACAATCAAATTGCTTGGAATATTCAACTAATGTCTTCACATAATATTTATTTGCCTAGAAACTTAATTCAAACATTATACTGCTTTGAAGTACACACTTTGCTTTTCATCAGCTCCTTACTTTCTAACAATTGTAGTTTTGCTTTTTTGTTCTATGCTTATTACTTTGTTGGACATTTTGAAGAACTAAATGGGTTATTTAAAAGAAAAACACAGGCTACTGCACGTATGGCAGGATAACAGAACCTAATTCTGTATTTTCTTCTCAAGCCAAACCAGTGTTCTTGAGCACTCAGTCTAGTGTCAGATTGAATGTGACACCCAACCCAGGAAAACACAGGGGTGATATTGGTAAATAAAAAAAACAAACAAAAAAAACCCCAACAAACCCCGCAGCAAATAGCAGATGTCACCGTAGCTATTTCAGTTGCCCTACTTTGCTCATAAGCCTAGCAATTTCATGTCTCCTCAAATTAGAGTAATATTTTTTCATATCATGAGGTTGAACTTAGGCAAAAAACTCACATTTGAGCAAATATTGATCCTCTCATGTTGTGGAGCAAGATTAGTATTCCCTAACATCCACTGCACAAGCATCAGAAACGTCTCAAGTCAGTTGTTAATCTCCCTCTACAGCTACACAGAGGGATACCCACCCACAAAGGGGGTTATCTTCCTTACCCTTACCCCCCTTACTCCTACTCCAATGACTGACAGGTGGGATGAACTAACTTCAGACCAAGAGAACACTAATTTTAGACCAAATCTCTCAATTTCAGACAACTAACATTAAGATTACCATGGTGCTAGATGCTAATGAATCAGTATGGTGCTGATACTGTTTTGATAGCATTTAGTAATAGACCCACTGAGAACAGAGAACAGATACAACTACAGCTATAGTTATACTGATCAGATTGTATTTTCATAAACAAAACAGCATATATCATCTACATGGCTGATTATTTGCTAGAAGGTGAAATACAAAGTCTCCACAGAATATGAAATCTGAAATACTGAATATTTTGTTATAGTTATTTCCATAATTTTAATTAAATGTAGTACACAGATAAAACTTTCTTGGCTTAGAAGTGGAAATATTACTTGGCAGTTCTTGTGAGGAACAACTGAACACAGGACACGTGTAACAGTTTGAAAGACATACTGATATCGGAACAGACAATATGTATACATATAAAATAAATGCAGAACTATCTATTTCAGAATCCAAATAGTACTATTCAACAGGCTGACAGGCTTAGTAGATAAAAAATTATATTTGCTAAAACTATATTTTAAAAAATCTAGTTATGAGATACACTATTACTAGAGATTAAAAAAAAAAAGGAAGAAAGATCTTACTTTGGGGTTTGATGCACTTCTGACCACCAGTTGTAGTTGGTATAGTTGACAAGAAGCAGAATTTGACACCAGAGGAGAACTAAAGAAGGATGTGTGGGAATCATGGACTGAACAAGTTCACTCAAACTTTCAAGGGTATAGAAACTACCATCAGATCCATCTCCTGTAAAAAGCCTGGTGGCTGCAGCAGTGATTCTTCTAAACATCCCTGAAAACAATAAAAGCATGTTAGAGTAACTATGCTCCACTCTGAATTCTCAAGTTTTAAAATTATTCATGGTACCCTGAGAATACAAAACTTGTTTCATAAGCGACTACCATTCCTGGAAGAAAGATATATCCCAAGTGGTTTTACAAATGCAAGTAACGGAGTTTGCCCAAGGGCAGTGTGTAAACCAGCTCCCATGACAATGCTTTAGATCAGACTAGAATTGTAATGAAACCTATCTTCTCAACTTTTTGTCTGTCATGTAGCAAAAAGTTTATCTGACACAAAATTTAAAAGTGTTAATTATAGAACAGGATTTTTAAAAATGTTGTTTATAAAGTAAAATACAGAAGTTCTAATTAAGAACCATGTTGTAACTATTATTCTACATTTTAAGGAAGAATGTTTACAAGTCTCCTATTTCAGATGAGGGCTTCCCAAATATGTTTAGTTGAAACTAAACCAATACCCTCCCATCCAATTTTTGAAGTGCAAAAAGTAAATGTTTTTAAGTGGAGAAAAGTCACTACCCTGCCCACCGAGCACTTGGCACAAAAGCTGAATTTGTTTTCTGATGTGCTGATTCTGTATTCATATGCCAAAATGAAGGGAGGGAAAACAAGTAAAATGGACAACTTCAAAGTTGTCTAAGGGTACAGGACTTTGAGTTTCTATGAGAAGATAAGATGAGGAAAAAGAGGCTCTTTCAGAACCAATTAGAAACCATAAGCTAATCAGAACAATGAAGGCGATCTGTAGTGTTGCTTGCATTGCCAGATACACAGAAGAACGAAGCTGTAAATTCCACAGCCATGTGGACCAGTTTAAGCTGCCCCCAGGACTGATAAATACACAATGTAAACAGAAAAAAAATGGGAAAAAAAACCCAGTCTCAAAACTTGGGTTCCACTTACTAGCAAACCAGTGCTATTCCCACTCCACCTTCCTGCATTTGCAGTAACTGCACCACCTAGTGACCATCTACAACCATGAAAGCCACTACATGCTCATCTTTTCACTTTGTCTATGCCTCTTAATTTCTACTAAGTTCGAAGTAGCACTGAAAATGTTAATTCCTAATATGGCAGTTTCCTATAGTTGAATACACAGGAGTCAGCAATGCTCACTATTTGAAAAAATTATAATGGGTGAGAAGACAAAACATTCAAGTAGAACAGTGGTTAAAAATGACAGAAGACCTTAGTCTATGTTCCCAGACCCAAGTCTCTATAAGCTGCACCTGTAGCTAGGAGTATATAACTTAAAGAGAAAAAAATTACAGGTTTAAAGTGAACAAAAGAGAAGTATTACAAAACCAGGCATTTAGTAAACCCAAAGCCTAAACCTGAGAGAAAATGCTACAATATGAAAATACAGCCCAAGTGTCTCAACAACTTTCCTTCTACTCCGTTACACCGTATCAGGTAACCACATTACTACCAGTACTTAGTAGTACTTAGTACACATATCCCACTGCTCTGCATGGGTATTTTAGTATTTAATTTGGCATGAAAGTCTCTACATAGTTCCTGGCGAGACTCACAGTGCAGCCTGGAAGCCAGTCGCTGTACGAGAACTAGGTGAGCCTTCCTTTTCCATTATCCCCAGCTCACACTGTGGAAGAACCCACTCCCTTGATTTCAATCACCAGCTTGACTTTCTGATTTCACTGGTCTTCGCTTGACCCCATTTAATCACTTACTCCAAATCACCTTGTTGTAAGTTATTTCTTATAATATTTGTTTCAAATGTTTTTCCATAACAGCAATTATTAGTATATATACTTTAGTTATTATTGTAACAGACATATAGGAAAAGAGAACTATCACTCACTACATCCAGAGTCCTGTGCCCTAAATCAGGCTTAAAACAAAGATCAAGGAAGGCTCTGGTAACTATCACCATATTTTGTGCCTCTTCACTGACAATCCTGCAGTCTTTGTGGCAAGAACCTGTCAATGAAGACTAGGAGGAGAAAAGCTATGGAAAGTTAAATCAAGGCAACGCAGAAGCTTCGAGCTTTGATGGATAACCAGCTGAAGAAACAGAACGCTTCCACCAGCACTTTTTTAACTTGTTTTAAGTCTACACCTACAATACCTTTGTCTGCAAAAAGCAGCTGGTAGCAATGACAGGAACAGAACTAAGTTGGTTTTTTTTTCCTCAAGAAAGGACTTTATAACTGAACTCTGTAGCAAGAGCTTAAGAAAAAAAAAAAAGAGAAGAGGTGCTTGGGACACAATGGAGCACAGAATCATGTTAAATGTTTAACAGTATTCTGTATGCACTTTTTTTATTATTTGCATCTGCTAAGTAGTGAAGTACTCCCCTTTTACAGATGAGGCCGTGGAATGCAGAGTTCCTTGTCCCATATCTGTAAGGAAGTCTATGAAGAACTAGGGACTTGTGCCAAGACCTTTTAAATTGCAGCCAACCTCTTTAATCCAATGTTGGATTTCAGCTGCAGAGTGAAAATGAGAAGACAAAAAGGACAGTCATAGTAAAGAAAAAAATAAAAGAATAAAAGAAAAGGAAGATAGTGCCACTATTAGGAATATAAGACTAAAGAATCAGGCTAGGGACTAAGGAATTATTTAAGTGCCAGAGACTGGATATCTAGCAGAAGACACCTAAGGCAGAATTCCCAAACCTGAAGAAAGGAACTCAAGAAAAACTAACTGGAACAGTACTACCTTTCCCATTCTTCTGGGTTTGTTTTTTGACTTGTTGGTTGTTTGTTGTCTTTCTGTTTGGTTGGTTTTTTAAGTTTTATTAATTATGACAAAGAACAAGAACCTACCTTGTAATGAGTCTGAATCAGTGGTTGGTAACTCAGTATTTTAAGACTGGACATACCCAACAACCTCCAAACTGAGAAAAACCATGAGAAATACAGCCACAAATGTGGAATGCTTTGCATTTTTAGACTGGAAAAATTTAGACAGTTAAAAGGAGAGATGAAAAGCCACTAGTTACATTTTGTTCCACACAGACAGAAGAAATGTGAAAAATGTGCCCTGCATGCATGAGTACGAAGTTTGAGAGGTTCTTTATACTGGGTAGGATAGAATGTCTCCAGTACCTACGTATTCTTTCTCAGTAGTTCAACATATTCAACAATTGTCTCAGAACTGAAAACCACCCTGCCACTGCATGCTACAACATAAGTCACTGTCTGAAGTATTACCTGATTTGAAGATATGTATTAAGCACATAAGCAGCGTGCCCAGCTCCTGGCAGTAGAAAGTATGCTGCTGCTCATTCATGTCTACTTTCAATTGTTTGGTTACAATATCTTCCAGTAGAATGCCAACAAGTTGTAATAAGAACCTTGAAAAACAATGTACACAATCAACAGAAAAACTATCAGTGAAACATCTTTCAGAATAAGATGCAGTTTGCCTATGAAACTCAGTAAGTTTGAAAAATAAAATGTAAAGTCCTTGTCCGTTCATCCGAAATAGAATGTTAAACTAAATGCTACAGAACAGGTTGATCTAAAACATACATGATGCTATAGGTATGGAGAGATGATCACAAGCACTTCAATAATTACATATTAGATCTGGATTATCTATTCATCAGCCAAAGTCATGAGAGCATGCATACACCAGCCCACCTCACTCACACAGCAAACATTCAAAATGCTATGGTGCCCTTATAGAGATCTGCAATGAGCTAAAAACACACCATGACAGTTACCACAGCTCATCTGAGGAGGGGTAACTCAGCAAGTCATAGTAATTCAGCTGTGTACAGCCTCATGCTCTACAACATGCATTCCATATCAAATATTTAAGCAGGGGGGAAAGAAAAAGATCAGAAGAAACACCAAAAAAAATACATTTGAGGAAAGCCATCCTTGCTCCTGGCCATAAACATTCCTCAACTCACTCCTGTTGGACATAAGGTCACATTAAGGGAGTCCAGAAGCCCCTTTTCCCTTTGCCCATCACCCTCAGAGTAAGCCAAATGATAAGAAACAGCATTTTACTTCTATCTGAAGTTATATACTTGAGTAAAAAGTTCTTTTCAGAAATTAATAGCTATTTTAAATGCTTCCCACTACATGCCTTAATGACAAACATTATTTCAACGTAATACCGTTGCCATCTCTCCACATTTCTTTTGCCTGACGTTTGTCACTCTCCAAGTATGTCAGCATGGGAAGCTAACTAGACAAAGCTAGCTCTTAAAAATAGGAAATAAAGTGCAGGACTAGCTGAATAGATATGAATCTATTTCTGTGTATCTGTGAATCCATCTGCTGTCAAGATTCCAGTATAGAACCTGGGATTCTACTAAAGGGATGACTCATCTGTCAGATCCACACAAAGAAGGAAAAGGTTAACCAGTTACATTTTTGGATGTGATTTTAAAAAGTTCAAGATTCATCCATTTTAAGAGTTCCATCAGGTCCTTCACTTGGCTCAAGAAGGGACATCAGAACAGTTCAAAGTCCCTACCACAAACTGCTCATCTCCTCCCTCTACTGTCCATCTTATTATTCCTTCCTCCACACACACTCCTTCCAAATCAACTTACTAACAGACTTTATTCTTATTAGATAAAAGTTCCATACGTGTACATATTGCAGAACATATTTGTGATTTCTCAGAAATCTTAATCTTTCCTCTAAGTTTTGCAAAAGACAACATACCTAGAAAATGTCTCTTCAGGCAGATATTTAGCCTGTTTAACCTCAGTATGATCCTCTGGTGCAGCTACATTATTTTCTCCACATCTCAGTCTGTCAATGGCTTGACATGAAATCAAATACGGTGAGAAGGAAAGCTCTTGTATACGGGACAGAACGATGTCTTCTGTTGACTGTGAAATCAGAACTCTAAGGATAGCTAAAATTCCAGAAATCCACAGCTGGACGGTGCTCACTGATGCCTAACACAAACAAGCAGATTATTAACATAGTGAATAAAGTTGATAGTTACCATGAGAATAGTGTTTTGGAAGACCTGAACATAGAAGTTATTTCCTGCTTGCTCCATTCGCAAATAGGTCTGATTTTATGTAACAGTTAATGAAAATATTTAACTTTAAAAGTATTCAACAACGTAGGAATGCATTCAACTTTTCTAAAGTAAGTAAAAAAATTTATATAATCTCAACTATAAAAACAGTACAAATACTTGCATAAGAAAAAAAAGTGTGAATTACCTATTAAATTGCATTCTAGAATTCAATAATAGTATGTTTCTCTACCTTCCTGATCCTCAAAATACAAAACAAAGACAAGTAATCCATAAGCAGAACGTTCCTGTATAAAGTGCTCCTAGCTGGCAAATCTTACTAGTTTCTAATTAATTCCTTCCTAAAATCCACTGCAGTTACTTTAATACCACATTGCAAAATATGAAAGAGAAACATACGCTCCTTTCTGTTGCATGAAAGACACCAGATTCTCTCATGCCTGGAAACAATCACTTTTACTACTTATCTAGAAACATTTCACCTGATTTAGCAGGTTCACACATGCTTACCATTGTTTTAGGAGTAACAAACATACTCCTTAAAAGCATGTCCACAGGGCGAAGGGATGAAGGAGCCAAAATTTCAAACAAAGTATTCAGTACTCCCAGAGCATCATGAGAGTCTATATGCATCTGCAAAAGAAAAACAAAATTAATTTGCAACTATCTACTAAAGGCAACTGCAACACAAAATTACCATTTCATGTTTAAATATTTCTATGGGAATCTATGTGTAATAAAACTGTCCCTTACAGTACGAAATCTATAGCAACCAAAATCTATGAAAGGTAAATGAAAGTTTCATTGCAGGTCTTTCTATGCAGGAGGTTTGAGAACACAGGATCTATGATACAAAATTCAATATACACACCATATATATTTTATTAGGAGAAATATGCCATATTCAGAGAATGAGTCCAAAAGACTGACTTGTCATGAAATTTAAAAACTTTCCTCCTCCCTGCACACCCTACCAGGCATATTTATACAGAGCAATGGTGGTCATGAATAAACTTAAGCAGGTAACTAGGAGAAAAAAAACTGCTAATCATCAGATAAGTGAACATTTAAAATGTTATTACACAGCAGCAATAGAGGTAGGACACCTTAGTTGATCAGTTTTTTCAGTAAAATTATTAAACAATCAACTGCAAAAAGCAAAGGACTGGACTCAAAATGCGGGTAACATTATCTTTCCTAAATAATCTGATTGGTGAGCACGTGCACAGATTCATACAAAACAAAGGCAATTTCAAATTGCCAGCATCTAACTTTGCTCAAAACCTGTTGTTTAATCCACAATACTGTACACTCTCCCCAAGCATGAGCTCTCCTCATGGGAGTGGAGATCTGCCATCATGGACTTAAGAACATTAAGGGCACAATTTCAGTAGGTTTACTTTTCATCCTTGAAATAAGTGTTTCTAATTCCAGGTCAGGGAAAGTGGGAGGAGGAGATGACACGAGTGCAGAAGAAAGAGACAGAATCTTTTCAGTGGTATCCAGTACCAGGACGAAAGGCAGCAGACACAAGTTGAAATACAGGAAATTCTGTTTCAATACAGTGTTTATTTATTTATTTGTTTTTCTGTCTGTGAGGATGCTCAGACACTGGAAGAGGTTGTCCAGAAAGGTTATGGAGGCTCCATCCTTGGAGACTGTCAAAACTTACTGGACATGGCCCTAACCAACCTGCTCCAGTAGACCCTGCTTTGAGGGGAAGACAGCATCTAGAGGACCATTTCAAGCTTAGCTATGCCATGATTCTGTGACTTATTAAAGCAATTTCAGACTATGTCTTTTCATTTTCCTCACTAAGAAAAAATGCAATTAGAGCCATAATTACAAAAAAAAAAAAAAAAATGACATTCTATAGAATGGAAGAATTTCACACATTGATAAGTGCTCTGATACAATCATACATGTAAGAAAAGTAGATTGAGCTTCCTCTGGAAACAGCATTGAAGATAACTGCACATACTTCATGCATTTAAATACGACCTTCGTCACTTCAAAAACTTAGTTCACCTTGCAGTAATTGTTTTTTCAGATATGGCAACTAAACATTCAAGAAAATCTGCCTTCATATAAAAAAATTAAATACCCAAAGACATTTTTGATACATATATTATAACAGTTATTTTAGATGATTATAGATTTAAAACAATTATATAACAACCTGCTGTTTTGCAAGCATTGGGAGAATGATGTCAGCTATTTGCCGGGACAATCTTTTCCATTTGTCTTCATTTTCTTTATGACACTGCTGCAATACTAAGATGAACATTTCTAGCACCTGTGGAAAAGTCCAAAAGAATGCAAGTAAACACCCACACTAACATGAAACATTTAAGTAATATCAGAGTGGGAAAAATATTTACTGTTTCATCCATCTGCCAAAAAGTAAAAAGAAAGGAAAACCTGCATGAGAAATCATACAGTTTTAAAACCCCATTTTCAAGTTAAAAGCTAATTCTTGGACTTTTTCTGGTTTGTGGTTTTTGTGGGTTGGTTTTTTTTTTTTGTTTGTTTGTTTTTGGGGTTTGGTTTTTTTTCAATTTTCCAGTTACTTTTATAAGCTAGAAAAAAAATGCTTTTTTTGTCCTTTTTTAAATGGTATTTGTCAAAAGACTACTCAAACAACTAGAAAAAGTATAGTAAATCTAAATGCCATATCACATACTCAACAAAAAGGGGAGGAAAGAAAACAGCATTTCCCACATGTATACTCTTTCTTTACTCTAGCTGAAACAAAGTGTAAATTTGGTCAAGGAAACCTAACAGACATTTTTATGGAGCTCATGCACCTGAGATATGTCACTTTCATATAAAGATTTATAGGAGAGCATATAATGGAGCACATCAACAATAAGGATCACTTCTAGTAGCTCAATGTGTCATCAGTTTGAGGCTTAGAGAGACCACACCTTCAATGATAGACAGGCCAAAGACACAGCAAGCAAGAATGTTAATATATGGACTGGGAAGTGGGACAGAAGAATCTGGTTCAGAAAACCAGTTAGAGCACTTTTAAAAGAAATTCAAGTAGTTCAGATTCAGAAACGCAGCAAAAAGAAAGAAAAAGAGATTACCAGATGACTTTCTTCACAAAAAGCTCTCAGACAGAGCTCTAAGCATGGTAGCTATAGTTGTAACAAGAAAAGCTAAAGGCTGCAGCTCTTGGAGACTCTCAAATCAGAGGGACACCACTGCAGAACATCCCAGCCACAGTCAGGAAACAAGAGAACTGCCCAAGGGTTAGTTTATACGTCCTGCATCAGCAGAACAGGACAGAATAAAAACTAGAACTGGGATGGTGTGGGAAGAGCAGTGCATGGGTGGTCTTTAATAGGTTAAGTGTGTCAGAAGGGGATCTGCTAGCAATTGCAGTACCTTATGTAACAAAGTTATTCACTATTTCACATCATGTGTCTACAGAGTGTCATTTCATATAGTTATATTAGTCATTTTATGATTATAAAACTACAAATTCAAAAGAAAATGTGGATACACAAAATTACCCCAATCTGAACATGCAGTTCTAACAAATTATTTTGACAAGATGTACTGACTTTTTTTTCCCAACTATTCTCAGAAAATACACTGCTCACATTAGCATACACTGGAACTGCATTTTCACATGATAAAGGAACAGCATTTTAAGTTTGTTAAGCACCTGAATAAGCAATAAGATCCCATGTTAATTATGTAACTTCTCTTAAAATTACTTTTATGTTTTTATTTTAAACAAAATGTATTGAAGAAAATTTTATACTCCTACAAGGAAGAAACGTGTTTTCCAGACCCATGAGGTCTGGGGCAAAGCAGTAAGCGCTAAGAAGTGTCCAACTACCACTTTTGTTACCTTATTCAAATAATTCTTAATTTTAAATGTTATTGAAGATATTGTTACTGTACAGCAATACCTGAATCATCTCAATGTAGCACATCTCCTACTTTTAATCCAGTCCTCTCTTCCACTTTTACCCTCTTTCTTTTAAGTTTCTTGAATCCTAATTTATTACAGCTCTTCTACTAACATTCCGTTTATTCAATCTGCAACACAGCCAAGATTGCAATCCTAACTGGAGCTTTTCAGTGCTTTGTTACCTAGGCTTGACTATAAAATCCCACAGACATGTTATTGGACTTGAAATACTGACTTGTAGTGCAGAACCCTTCCCCTATCCCCAAAAAAAATCTTTGCATACTCTCTCATTAAGGGAAGATCACACACAGAGTCCAGCTATTCAAGTTTTGTATAGAAAATTATTAGTATTGCCTGTAGCATTTTTAGCAGTCAAAGCAATGTTACCCTTTCATGGACCATAAACAGGGACAGGTTGTCCTCCTCTCTTACCTGATGGTACTGAATAAGTCTCAGCAGCATTGACACTACCACCTCTTTTTGTGTTTCCAACTCTTTTCCAGCATCGGCTTTATTTGTTCCTCTTAATACAAAGAGATCATGAACAATAGGCTGCAGAGCTGGTATTGCTGAAATGAGATTTGTTTGCTTGTTTTAGCATGAGACAACTCACTTCTGAATGGAGTTTTCTTGTTCTAACAGTTCAGCTACTAAAAGTAAACTCTGTTTTAGTTTATCAAAGGTTTTACCCATCCCTAAAAAAACCACCAAAACCCAAAACTTATAATGCATAATGATGTCTATCCTTTCATTCCCAGTAGAAAATCTATATTATGAACACATATTCTCATAGAGCTAAAATAAATATTTTTATAAAGTATTTCTGAAAGTATGAGACATGCTTCTACTTTAAGGCTGAATGTGGAGGGAGAGGAAGGGGAGTAAAAATTAAAACCAAAGCCTTTAAAGTACTGCTATGTTGTGAACTTACTACCTAATAAAATTTAAAATATAAGCTTTGTTGCTACTATGTATGATGCAAACCACTGGGTAGCAGTGTTAGTAGGGTACAATAAACTTCCTGAAGGAACTAGTGAGACTTATTGTAGGGATTAAAAATTTAAAAGCTGTGTCTTCTGGAACAATCAGCAGGATTGCAGTTTTCTACAGCTTAGTATTCAATACTGTTTTTATTCACAGAATCACAGAATGTCAGGGATTGGAAGAGACCTCGAAAGATCATCTAGTCCAATCCCCCTGCCAGAGCAGAATCACCTAGATGAGATTACACATTGCTGAACTATTAGTGTTGGTGATCCCCCTCTCATCTCCCCCCCCTTTTTTTTTTTAAATTACCATGAGTAACAGCTTTCCTCCCACTGGCCATGATACCATCACACAGCTGAATGATCTTAGGAATTCCTATTATCTGTTTGGAATGATACCGCTCATAAGACAGTAACACCAGGAAAAAAAAGATATTAGGAATAATTGCTTCAGATTCCCTGAAAATAAAAAAAAAAAATAAAAGTGTCAAGTTTGAATTGCATAACTCTGTTCAGTAAAAATTAATCTTTGTACAGTAAGGATTTTTTTTTTTTAATGACATGCATCAGAGTATTTCTGTAGGAGACACAGAGCAAAAAACTCACTTATCTCTTCGTACACACTCAAGTGTGAGAAAAAACAAACAGCTGACAAAAAATTCCACTGCATTGCTTATGATCTGTTAGGTACTATATAAAATATATCAGGTGATCACAATACAAATGGATTCACACTAAGTCCACAATAGGAAGAAGTAGCTCTCCATTCAGCAACTGAATCCTAGCAATGAAGTGCTGATTCCTGAAAGCACAGCTTTGGGGGAGTCCCAAATGGAGAAAGAGCACAACACAGCTGAAGATTTTTTGCTTCTGTGCTACTTCCCTATTTCTTCAGCCACATAGAACCTAAATGACCCGAAAGGACTGCTGCTATAGCCAGGGAATACATTGCCCAGAATGTAACTCCCTCTTTCTCATAAGGCAGAAACAACCAGCAAAACTAATCACTACATGCTTCAGAATAAGACAGTTGTAAACCCACACTGTTGAGAGGATCTTTGTTAATTTCATACCTGAACTGTCCTACTTCAATGTATTCAAACTGCTTTAGCACAAATCCAATGAACACCTAAAGAGAGAATAAAGTGTACAACAGATACAGAGAGGTTAATTCCCATTTAAAATAATTTTGACAGAGTTATAAAAGTGCATGTTTTGGAATGAAAGACAGGCAATGAAAATCATTTATACTTATAGTTCATTCTAATATGTTATGAAGCATTCCCTCTACAGTTACAGAATATCTTGAGACTCACCTTATTGATGTTAAGAGTTTATTACAGTTTACATGAACTCATGAAACATTTTACCTATAATCTATATATTTTTAAGTATAACTTTCTCACTCATGTAACACACACTATTTGAGGCATCACAGTCAAGAAGTTAAGAATCGACCAAAAATATAACTCTAAACCAAGATAAAATCCAAAGCTTGCACTGTGTAGATTTATCTGTGTAGGAATTTACAGGACAGTCATGTATTGCAACTCATACTAGTCTGTAAACCCAAAACCACTGTAGTAAATAAAACACAAATTTTATTTTACTTTACAAATGTATTGCTTATATGGACAACCACACAAACTACTGTATTTGCCACTAGTTTTCCCCGTACTTAAAATCTAATAATGGTTGTGAACCATGATGCTCACCACTATCAGTCATATGGAAGTCCATACTCTGAATACAGAAAGGAATTATTTCTATTTGTAAAAGAAGTTTTATTTAACAACACTGATTGCATTGTCCACATTATCTTATTCCTAAAATCGATCTGATGAACAGTTCTTAAATAACTGTTACGAAGCTTAGGAAGAAATTTATATGCAACAGAAGCTGAAGCTCTTTGTGGTTGGGGGGATGGGAATCGAGTCTCACCCTCCTTTAAGCCTTTGCTTTCACCTGTAGTACAACAAATGGATTGTTGCAAGCATTTCTGCTGGAAATATTAAGCCTGCTGGTGAGATCCCTGTATTACAAATCTGCAAAAAATGGTGAGATACCCACCTGATCTGAATCCAGAAGACAGTAGTTAACTCGTAGCTGAACAAGTTGAGCAAGCAAGTCTAGAACTTGTCTCTGCAGCTGTACCGATGTTGTTGTAGTATATTGTTTCAATGCTTTTATGACAAGGGGTTCAAATAAACGAATGTGATTGTGAATAGCATTCTGTAATAGAGAGATTTCAAAGTAATCTAATAATACCTGAACAGGTCTGATTCAAAACCAAATTACATTTTAAAAGGAGGAAAAATGTTTTAAAACCTAAGGTACAACTCTTTCAGGAGTATATAGATAAAAGTACCTTATCAGCACGGTGTTTTGCTGCACTGGTAATGCTAGTTTTCAGCTGTGTAGAAACTTTCTGCAGCACATCAAACCATCTGTCAAAAAATCCCGTACAAATTAAAAAAAAGAAGGAACAAATGCACCCTCCTTAGATGCATACTGTTTTACCAGTGACAGCCTTTCTTTATCTACTAGATTGCTTCAAGAATCTTAGCAAAAGAAAGAGCAGAGGCAACCTATAGTACACTTCGATCAGATCAAATAGATTTGTGGACAACAAACATCTAATAGAGAAAGAAATTCTGGTCTTTGCTTAGTCATCCTTCTGCCTTTCCTTTAAGACTACTGACTATTTGCTATAATTAGCAAGTTAATGAACTAGTTTTGAATACAAGCTTTTAAAACTATCATGCTTTTTAAAAAAACTTAAGCAATATCAATTTTAATGGTTTAGCTTTGATTTGGAAAAATACATTAGTGATAATCAATAGAATATTGCACTCAGGATCTCACTACCAACACAAATTACTCTGCTTAAGTCTACAAGAAATAGATAATACACAATACTGTCATTTCAAGTTAATTAGCTCCCCTATCATAGTTGTGTTTATGAAAAACAGTAAAAAGAGATTCTAGTTCAAGTTAACATATCGTAAGGGAAGAAAGTTACCCCGATGCATCGTGTTCTTGCTCAGCCTGAACCATGTTCCTCAGACTAGCATCAGCAAGGGCCTGTGTGAAATGTGTGTATGGTGCCATGAAGCAATAATGATAGAGACCAGGTCTCAAATTGGAAGAACCTAAGCGTTGCGCTTTGCCTTGAGCTTTGTTGGGGTTTGAAGACAAGCCATCATATTGAGAAGCCAGATTTGTCCCAAACAATGTTTTCAGTAACTAGAGAAGAAAATTGGAAAGAAAAAAAAAGTTAACATTTCAGGAAAAAAAACTCCTCATCCTCCCAAAGGGTGTAAGAGGAAAGGTCAAAGTGCAAACTGTAGATCATGTAGTCAAATACAAGCTGACAGAAAAAAATCTGGAAAAAAGAAACAATCTACGCCTGATCCAAAGAGATATGATTGTTTTTGCAACTGAAGCTATTTCCATGTGACAACTCAAAATAATCTATTACAGCTCACCTCCCACCAAAATGCTGTAAGCCTGCAAGAAATCCATCAGTAAGGCAGTTCTTTGCTTTCCAGGTTTTTGATGTAGTTAACTGTTTGATGCAGAACATTTGGGAAAGTAGGAAACAAACTTGTTTTCTGAGCATTAGCTAAAATATTTGTTGGAATTAGAGGCAGTTCAAGAAGAAACTATATTATTCAGGTAGTACCAATTTCAAAACAAGTACTCAAAATTAAAGAAAACATGCTCTGTTTGCTCCACCTGGGCTACAGGTTCCTCACACTGCTTCACTTAAAAGAATGGGCAGCTCTAGTATCCAACTGATAACCACAGGACATCAGGATAAACCTTCCATTATCTCCTTACCTGCTGTACACAAACTGTTGCCATTGTTGGTTCTCTGTTGAAACACGATTTTAGGTATCCCAAAATTTCTTCTACACACTAGAGAAATAGAAAAACAAGTGCATCTCATTGCATTTTTATTCATTATATAAAGCATTACTATGAAAACTGGAAAATAGCACTTTTTTTACTAAGTAAAAATATGCTAATTTTAGGGAAATTGTGGAAGTACAGAAAGAAAAAAAAAAAGCAAGATCTGCCTCCTACTCTTAAAATACCACAGTGCCCAACACCACAGTTAAGGAGAAAAAAAAAAAAACCAAGACACAGGAGAGGAAGAGAACAGTATGCCTTCTGACATTTTGTATATTTAACATGAGTATACTTAATCATATTAATATACTAAGAATGACTGAAGGCATTCAAACTATCTTGCTGGAAAGAAAAATCTCCACATGAAATTTAAAGAGCAAAAAAGTTACTCCAGTTTTTAACAGCAGCAATTTAATCTGGAAAATCTGCCTTAGCACTTTACCCAACATTGTGGCAGCACAATACTTCTAGGGCTACTGTCTCTCTCTACAGTACCAATTTCAAAAATCAATAATACACGCTTTTTCCCACTAAGAACCACACATATGGGACAATTTACCTACAAAAGAAAAACCACAAAAATCTTGTACCTTTCCAATGTCTTGAAGAGTAGCAAGTTCCAAGATTTGAGACAGAACATCTAAGGCAGACCGTAAAAAACATCCAAACTTTTCATTACTGTTCTGGAGATCCAAAGTAACCTGGTTGCAAAAAGTAAAAACACACTTTTTCTTAACAATTACTTGTCAAGGAGATTAAAATTACAGAAAGAAGTGGGTATTGACACAAAATAAATTTTTGATAAAATTTCAGCACGATTCAATCAACATTATGGAAAGCTTAGACTCCCTTATGAATTGCTGGAAAGGTAGGACTTCACTTTGACTAAGAAAAAGAAAGGGATCTAGCTTGAGGAAGTTACAGCTTCTGGGAAGGCCTAGGATGTTGACAATTAATAGAGAAGGGATAATATGTTTCTCAACACAGTAGGTCTAATAAGAATACACCCCCTGAAGTGTACCAATCACATCACTGAGCCTCTAGGGAATGCATCTTTTATTACCTGAACTAATGAGAAAAAGCTTACCTACCCTGGAATAAACTGTGGAGAAAAGAGACACTGGGATCCATTTGGCATTGCCAAGCCAGGAAAGGGTTATTGGTACCAGCATTAGTGACAGCAAAGAAACAAGCAATGCGGTGACAATGCCTATCAGGGGTTTTCATTTAGTCATGTTTTGTTTTTACTGTTGGTGGTTGTGATTTTTTTTTTTTTTTTTGGTGTGGATAAACCATTTACACAAGCAAACAAGTGAGTCTTGGTGCAAGCAGAGACATGTTTAAAAGAAACAGGAAGTGATTGCCCAACCACATTCTAATTCAATCAAATGATATCATGTAGTACCTTATAATTAGCATGGGTTGCTTTCAAGACATCGTATAACTTCAGATATGAAGGAAGATGATAAAAGCTTCCTACTGAAGATGATTTACTTGTTGGAACAGGCCCAGTAGCATCAGTTTGCCTAGTAGCTTTAAAGCATATCACAGATTAGCATAACATACTCTTTCTAGAGTGCTCAAGACATGTATACTCAATATAATTTACCATATCTGAATTATTAGACAGCATGAATTTTTCAATCCCCATACATATTTTAAACTCCAAAAACATATACTGTACAACCAGAAAATGAACTAGCATTCCAATAAACTAAGCCTCTGAGAAAACAGATATTAACCTAGAGGGCTTACTACTGAATTGCAAGTACAATTTATAAAACAGAATTAAACACTGATTTCCTTCATTCATTACTAAGGTAAAAAAAAAAAAAAAAAGTTTTCAAGATTCAGAATCTTGTTTCCAAGAGCAATGTAAGCTACCCCTGCCAGAAGTTACAAAGCAACTTTCAAAACTTCTTTTAAGTAAAATACATGTAAAAATGACTTCTTCATTTTAGTCAATAGCTGAGTAGCTTCAGAAAACAGTGAGGAATAGGATCCAGAAGTACTTTGCTACAGTAATTTTCATAAAAAACCAAAACAGTAAAGAAGCCCTCACCCACAGCTGCCTTTCCTGCAACACAGTACTGGAAAGAACTTCTGACAGTAGGTCTGCCAGCCTTTTGAACTAAAACTTCAGAAATAAGTTACTAAAGTATAAGAATAAGTTACTAAAACTTCAGAAATAAGTTACTCAGTTTTATTTCTTCTCTCTATGCCATAACTATATTCAGGTGGAGATGGCAGGTGGGAGGGTTAGCAGGAGTAAGCGTGCTTACCCGGACTCGTTTCACCCCCCTTTTTAGGGCTCATTGGCACAGATGCCTGTTCAACAGACTCCCTCTCTTTTCCCTTCCTCCGAATTGGACTCAAAGAAGGTGGATTTGTGAGAGAAGGTAATGCTGCCTAGAATTAAAAGAAGCTTTATTAATTTCGTATGCACAAGTAGCTTTTCTTTTTCTACACAAATACAAGCATATTCATCTTTTGTTTAAAATCCCCTTCATTTGACTGTCAGTTAAATTAAAATGTGTCAACTCTCAGGTTCAGGACATGAATTTCCTGAGTGAAAAGGAGGAAGTTTAATATATCCCCTACTTTGCTTCTCAACTTCAGTACAAGACAATGAGATTGAATTAGAGCCCAGTGACTAAGTTTCTTTTGATTCCAGACAAAGGAGTGTCAAAAAAATATTTTCACATTTTTAAAATATGAGAAAATCACTAATTGTAAAACACAGATGCCTCAAAATAAAACAAAAACCCAAACCCAAAAGTTCCTCGTATGAGCTTTTTCAGAATATTTTGCAGGATATTCAAAAGATGAAAGAGTTATTTTAAACCCCAGAAGGAGCTCAGTACATTACAGCCAGCCAACCAACCCAAAAGTCAACAGATGTTTGATAGACTACGCAATCAAATACCTCATTTACTATATATACTCTTCACTGAATTAATGTTTCAAGTGAAGTCACCAGGAATAAAAGGTTCAAAATTTAGTGTAATATTACAAACACTGCAGAACTAAACAAAACCCTGTTATGTGGAAGAAAAATATGCATGTTCTTTTCACATTACACATAGTGGAGTCATATTACGTTATTAGATAGTTACCTGTATCAACTCTAAAACACAGAGCCTTGAAGAAGTCTGTATCACAACAGTATTTAAGTCACAGAATTTTACTTATTTATTTTTAATACATACCTTTACTGCTGGGCCAGGGGCAACATCATCCATTACATGTGCACAAATATTAATGACCTTCAGCAGATGAGAAAAGAGCTGTTCTACTAAAGTAACAAGAGTTCTATCTGCTAGAGCTGGCCAAGGCTCCTCCTGCTTTGCAGCACCTTGGTTTGAATCATCTTCAGCACTCCAGGGATTCTTTAAGCATTTGGGAGCACTTGCTGCAACACAATATTTAAAGAAAAAGAAGATAAGTATCAGTAAATTTTAGAGGCATATCATCTCTATATGAATAGAAACTCGAACAGGGAAAAGTGAGCCTACATTTTCAAAACTAGCAGTAGGTGCATAGTTTTCAACAACAAAAAAAAGTTAATTCTTTGTATCCAGCCTATACTAAGCATACTGCACATTCCCTTTGGCAATTAGCAAAAATTTGCAACTAGGAGGCAGTATCTTTTCAAGCTTCTGGGTGCAAGCAGTTCCTTCTTTATTTCTTCTGCTCAATCTTGCAAGTATTTTCTTGCATGCAATCAGAATAGGATGAGATAAGGGCCTTCTGATGCTAATGGCAAAAATAAGGACAATCCTACTGTTCTTGTTCTGCCCTACCAGCAAGCAAGTTTCCAGTCAAAATCAAAGCATCCTGATGTGCAGAGAGGTCCAGTGGGAACCATGCTGATGAAAGGAGAGACAGTACCATGCCGGCCATTCCAATGGTGCAGCCTTTCTGAACTTCATCTGAAGGACTTGGCTGGGAAACACTGCAAGTTTAATTTTAAAATGTCATTACTTTTTTTCTCCCCCATTTGGTAAGTTCAAAGTTTTAAGAAAACTAGCAGTTAAGTAGACTACTAATCTAAAAAAAAAAAAATTTAAAAAAATCAGTACCACACATTTAACACTCAAGTAGAACTGTAAGACATTTGCAGCAGAGACCTGACAGTATTCTTGAAGAGCTGTTACTTTTCTTTTTTTAAATAGCAAATACAAAAGCTGCTAGTGACATCTACTGATAAACTGAAGAATTCTGAATTTAATTGCTAACCAGTATAGTCCTGAACTATCTCCAGTTACAAGTCTTGCGCATATGCAAGGTAGGAATGGGAGACATAAGTTGTAGTACTGCAATGTAACAAGATACTCTTTGAAAGTGACAAGAATTTAATTAAACAATTATCATCCATCAAATCATCTAGATTTATGGGTGGACTCTATCCAAGATTGTAATTTGCTGCTGCATTCCATATTTCCTTTTACAATAATTCTAAAATCAGATTTTCCTCACACACCTCGAGTTTCAAAAAGAACAGTCAGAGATCACCAAAAGATGTTTGTTAGAATACTGTGTGAATTGCATAACTCATTTCACTTTACAATAATTCTAAAATCAGATTTTCCCACACAACTCAAGTTTCAAAAGGAACAGTCAGAGATCACCAAAAGATGTTTGTCAGAATACTGTGTGAATTGCATAACTCATTTCAAAGCTCTAAGACCTGCACAATACTATTAACTTTCTTTCAGGAAAAGACTTTATGCAACTTCTAAATAAAGGGATTATTTCAGGACATTTTTTTAATAATAATTAAAAAAAATTCTGATGTAGTCACTCTGCTCTAATATAACCAGAGTAATTTCAGAAAATAAAATTTATGGTAAGTATAGCTATTATTTTGACAAAGCTACAAGCAATTACAGTGCCTTTTTAAAGTATTTTCATATGCAAGTGTTGTTTACTTTACACAAAGTTAGAAACTTATTAATTAATCCATGTTGAGTTGTACAGAGTTAGAATGCAACAATTCCAATAGCCTTATAATCACAAGATGACAGTACTTAAGACAGAAAAGAGTTCTGGCAAAATTCTCATGTTGTTATCCAGGTTATTATATTCTTATTACCCAGAATCATAAATGTTCATAACATTCCACAAAAATAAAACTGTAATCCAAATTAGCATGACTGTGGGGTGAAAATTTGCAAAGAAGGAATTAGAGTAAAGGGCAAAGGCTCTGTCACTGCATCACTGATAAGTATTAGATGCATGTTAAAAATAGCATTTTTTTAAGATGTGTAGGGCAAAAGACACACTGTTGCAATTCTGCATTGATTTTATATTCCAGCTAGGTACTGCTCACATCCTAGACTACTTCATTGGTTAAAATTGGACCTACAGCTCAAAGGACATATTTTTAGAATGCACATGCAGAGCACGCCACGCTTACAGCCAGCAAGGGAAGAAAGGGCATGCCAACAACAAAAGCAGTTGGAGAAGGGTTGGGGTTTTTTGTTTTGTTGGGTTTCTGATTTTTTGTTTGTTTTTAAAATAAGATAAAATTTTGCAATAGAGTTTCAGGACACCAGAGAAGTAAAATGAGAGTAGAGACACTATGACAACGAAGAAAATCAACACAAATGCTGTTAAAACTATTTAAAAACCAAACAGCTCTATACACCCGCAGTAGCTAGTTTTACAGATCACATGGCACAGCACATTGATAATCAGAGGCAAGATCAAAGCTTTATAGAGTTGCCAACCATATAGTTACATTCTGAAGAAACTCTTCATAAAATAAGTACTTTGGGGCTATCATATATCACCTACATAATACTTAAATATTATAGGTATCTCATTTGCTGTTCCCATTCAGTGTGCCAAATGAGAACAATTTAAATGCACCTGACACTTTTGTGGTTAGAAAAGCAATTATGAACCAGCCTCCTTCACCCACTGTTTTTCAACATAAACATGAGATCAAGGTGAAAATTATGATGTTCTGATTTTAAAGAGATACTACAAGACACAATAATCTGAAGATAAACATTCTTTTAAAAGCATGGAAAATTTTCTCCTCTTACTTATTTTGATAGACACTGACTATATGTATCTTTCTATTACCGCATTTGCAGCCAATCCCTGTGATATACGCTATGGTTCCAGAGATGACAAAGTGCTGACAATTAATATCATGACAACCTGATACAGAAAGTTCAACTTTATACAACAACTATTCTGCATAAAGTTCTTAAATAACTGCTACGATAAGTTTAACAGTATAACCAAGACTTCTGATACCTAAATAAGTGTATTTTCATTTCACAAATATGACTTTTAGAAGCTTGAGTAACAGATGAGGAAACATACCCACAGTGCCATCCAATAGTCCAGGTACAGACTGGAAACGTTGTGGAGAGAAGGCACAAAGCTTCACAGCAGCCAAACTGAAAAAGTTAACACCAAGAATTCAATCCATTTCATCACTGGAAGATCTAACAACAAAGCATCTTAAAAGAGTGAGAATTAAGTATATTACTACTGTCACTGCCACAGTACCAAAGCTGCAGATACAACTATAGCCAGGAAATAATTAAAAATAAAGAAATCAAGCAAAAAAGATAAAAGAAAAAGTCAGCCACTAGAGCAGCTAAGAGAACTCACTGTAAGTGCTCTTGTAGTGGATATTGTCAATGCATGGGAAACTGCTGCAATAACCCTTGAGAGATTGTTTTCCATAGTGACATCTGTTGGACTTTGCAGCATATTGTAACCTCTATATATTCTGAAATAAAAATATTTATAGCACTAAAACATGTACTTAAATAAAGAAACACCTCAAAAATTAAGGCTTAAATTACTATTACATATTTATAGTCTGCTTATAAAATACAAAATCTGAGAACACTATAAATACCACCTTATTATATTTTAATATTTTTGCTTCTGTACCAGTCAAAGCAACTTAGTCAATAAATCAAATCCCTTTGTTAGCAAATAGAAACAGCAGACCAGCTCTCAATACCTAGCTAGATGCTCTAGAAATGACCACCAATTTAGCATTAGTCTTTGCTTTTGCTCAAATCCATCTAAGATTTTTTGCACATTCACAAACTTTGGATTATTGCTGTAGAAAAATAACTATTTTATATCTGAAATAACATTGCATCCACAAAGTTCTGTTTCTATAGTACAGTATCTAAATCTTGAGTGACACGATCGAGATAATGTATGGAAAATACATACATAATCCAAAACCTGTATGACATGGATAGAAGCAAAGATCCCCCATAAACACATACAGCTTACACTGTCTATAAGACAAGATATCTAAACAGAAGAATTTAGGAAAGTATAGCTGGCAGCACAATTACAGCAAGAAAATCACACTATCAAGATTTATTTTTAAATTATACAGGCAGTAACAACTTCTGCAATCACAATCACTAAACAGGATGTGAAGAGTTATAAAACCTCATCAGCACATGTGAAGAACAATAATGTATACATACAGTTAGCCTGCAGAGCTGCACTTACTTTTCTATTTAATGGACAAATAGGGTGAACTCAGGATGAAGAGAAAGTCAGAGTTTACCACAGAAAAATGACTCCCTGTCATCAATGTGTGAGCACATCCCTAGTAACTCAACAACAGTTTATTCTTTAAACTTAAGTCTGTTTCTGTGGAGCCTAAAACTACCACAGATGCTCCTACAGATTAGAAAAAGAATTCATAAGCACATGGATTTGCACGATTTAACTGTGATTCTAGGTATTATGAATTGAAATTTGGGTCCCCGTTCCTTTTAAAGCAAGACAAGACACATGACATACCTGGTGATAGTGCTCACTGCAAAGTGAGATGGAGGCTGTGTTTCATGCATTAGTAGTTTCAGGTAGACACTACTTTGGTCTCTTGCTACTGCCACAACTGGATCAGCCTGTCCTTGATCACAGTTATAGAACAGCTTTGGAACAAGCCTTAACAATAATTGTCAAAAAGGAAAAGCATTATTCAGAAATTATTTAAGTATACAATTTAAAGTACATTTAAAATACATGCAATATACAACTCAAAGCTGCATACACTGAATACGCTTATCAAACTGTAAATAAAAGCTGTTACCAAAACTCATATTGTTAAGCTGAATTCATCTTCATACAACTAACTGCTCTTCATTATAATCAGGGAGCTCAAATCTGGACAAAGGAACTGCTCTAAACATATGGTAGTAAAAAGAAAAAAATAACCTTTTATAGAGATACCTACCTGTACACACTACAACAACTACACTAGATTATTGCTCTCTATGTTCCCCTATTTCCCCACATATCTTCCCCATGGGTATCTGTGTCAAATGAAAACTAATTTCTGCCTGAAAAGGACAATTTTTCATGCAGCAGAACTTAAGCATACAAGAGCCAGTCTTCTTGAACAACATTTTAAACTTAATCAACAGTGAAAATGTACAATACACATTTTTTATAATTTCACTGACAATACTTCCAATAAATGCCCACATTGGATCTTTCAATGGACTTCTGTGAGCTTATATCAGCTTTCTTGGGGCAGTGAAGTCTTTTCCAACCTTAATGCACATGCTGTCATTAAGTCAACATGAAGATTCATAAAAACTTCAATTTGTTACCACTCAATTAACAAAATAACTCAATTTCAAATTCGAGTCCCTGAATAAAAGCAACAAATACTAACTACGACGCAACAGTTGATTATTTCTCTGCTGAGTTGTTTCCGCAAAACAAGTGCCTTTAAGTGGCAGAGTTTTTAAGGTTTAATTGTCCTTGCTTTGTTATAAGGAATGGTCAGCAATTAATAGTCTGAAAAAAACCAAGAAAGTGACTCCTCTGACAATAAAATATTCCAGGAATTCAGTATTAGATGCTCCCAACTTCTTTAAACATAAAACTAAGTCCTTGAATTCTAATAAATAAACTACCAATTAATCCTTACTGTTCGGTGTGTTTATCTGGACAGCAATCCTAACTCTAGTAGGTTACAGTAAACAGCTGATTTTTAAACAAGATTAGCTACTTTACTATAATCAGTGAGCATGAAAGTTTTAAGATAAACTACTTATAACCATGTGGAACTACAGTATTTGTGAGTTAGGACAACTCCGTACAACTGCGACATCTTAAGTCCATCAGCTACTGTCAGATGTTGAACAAATCACTTCAGCATTTCCTGACGATTCAGAATGATGCATGTTCCAGGCAGGTACCGTACAGCTGCATACGTCTCCCATCCCTCATTTAAACAAAAATATAAAAATCTCACTAAGGGATTATTTTAGTTATATGTACACAGCAACATGCAAATATCTTTCTAAACTCCTTTTTAAAAAACAAACAAACCACCTCCATATATACCTTATTAATGAAGCTGCAGCTACATGTCTAACTCTTGGATCTTCATCTCCAAGCAGACATATTACAACATTATCAAGCACTCTCTCCTGAAGTTTTAGTAACTAGAAAATAAGTTAGCAGAGTAAAGGTCACTGAACATTTTCATCATTTGACCAGATTGTTAAAAGATAGTTAACAAGTAAGATTTCACCTATCACACAAGTCTGTAAGACAATCTTTACCTTAACATTGCCAAATAGACTATTTAAATACATAAATGCCAAAAATTTTTTGAAGTTTAAAAAAACCACAGCAAAAACCATACATACATGCACACCAGAAAACATGAAGATATTTGAATCTCAGTAGTAAAGTATCTTTCCAATCGTATCAAGTCTCAGAACATGAGCCTACTTATACAAAACATACAACAACTATCAGTCTTGGTGGAATTTAAACACAAAGTGCTGAAATTGCACTGGTACCTGAATCCAGAAACTCAATATACTGATTAAATAATTTACTTACACCAGTATAATGATGAAAACCTCGGTGCAAGCTCTCAGTTTTTCCTTCCAGGAAGCTGACTAGCCTATTGTGAAATAGAATTTAGAGTACACTGGTTAACACTAAACATTATTTCTCCCTTCAGTGCTCTGAGGGTTCTTTTTGTTTATTTTTTAAAAAGCACTACTGCAGGGAAAATGTAAGTAGTAAACATACTGTTTTCTACCTTTAGAAAAGGTAAGCTATTTGCTAAACTACTATCTGGTTAATGTAACAGAAGAATTAATTTAGTTTTTAAAAAAAAAAAAAAAAACCAACAACAAACAAAACCCCATTATTTACACATTGTGATTGTATTTTTTTTCCCATGCATGGAAAAAATCAGACTTGTTTTGAAGAGACAGTAACACATTCTAAATATCACTATTCAGAAAGAGTCCAATTTTGTTTGACTAAAGATAACAAAATGTTATCTACATGTTCTTCTGTCTTTCAGCTTGGAAGAACATGTAGAGAATGAGGAAATGCAAGAAAAGGAAGTCATATTTATTTCAGTATAACAGAAACTGAGCAACAGAAGAGAGCTGACAATAATGGGAGAGCAAGCCAAGGACCCTTTCTTTAAAAACACACACAACTGGACACGAAGTCCAACTTAATTTCCAGATTATATTGTCTCTCCCTGATCACAGATATACAGAAGACTTGATAGACCACTGAACTAGGAACTCCTACACAGTGTTACTAGGATTGGTCTTGGTAGAGAAGTCAATGGTAACTTCACAAAGGAATTCATACATTCCTTATAGGAATGGTTGGTCTGAATTAGTTTTATGAATCTAGTTAATGTTTCAGAAGAAACTGCTCCATTGTTATTCCAGTTTCCTATACACAGCATCTTCGCACTGGAGCTACAACACTCATGGAAAAATATAAACACTTACCGAAAATCAACCTCTGCAAGTGTTTCCAGAAGTTCCGTCCTTACTAGCCAATATGAGCTATTCTTCAGCGTAAGGAGGTCAACAATTAATTGTAAACCTAGTTCACTGTAACTGCTACTACATAGGCTCATGATGCAATGCTGAGAAGAAAAAACAACTTTCAGTTATATTACAGAAGAGGTTCTCTCTGAATCAAAGAACGGAAGTGATTATAGAAATCTGTTTTATTTAGGTTATTAAAAGAAGTTATTGCTTAAGAGCCAGGAGAAAGTACCAGAGCTAGGTACTTTGCAAGGCTAGGACACTAGCTTTAAGATGAACTGCTGCTGAATTTAAACTCTGGAGATCAGAGGACAACCCTTCAAAGAGTAAGGTCTAAAACTCACAGGGCTTAAACAACACAAGCACGATATTCTCATCTGTTCAAAAACAGTCTCACCTAGTTTCCACAGGGTATTTTTAGACACCTGGTTCTGATTTCCAAAGCTTTTGAAAAAGTCATACCTCCTCATTTTAATGACTGTTCAACTATATACACAATGTGTGACCTTTGGAAAAAGTTACAGAACTCTGCATTTCTATGTCTTATGTCTACATGGAAATGTACTTTCTTATTCAGAGATTAACAACCCAAAATGCTTTAGAACATTTCTGATGAAAGGTATGAAATCTGGCTATATCATATATTTCTGAGAGAAAGAAAAAGTCAAAATTGACTAGTGTGAGTCGCCTGAACTGAACAATTCTAGTGAAGTCTTCTAAAAAGCCTTAATCATAAGTGTAATCATACATGAAACCACTATATACAAACAATAAGATCATAGAACAGAAGATTAAAAAGATGGCATCATTTAACTAACTGGATTTCCTTCCCTCAGCTGCATCACAGACCCCTCCTCTTAGTATGTGAAATCATCCTTTACACACATTGACTCTATGCATTCTCCTAAAAGCTTCGCTTTGCCTCACTGACCCATAAACTCCAATATAGTCACCATCTGTGCCTCTCCACAAGGAATTAATTTGCCTTGGCCTCCAATTTGTCCTTGTTCTTCTACTTTTTGGAAAAATCCTCAAGGAAAAGCTCACTTGTTCACCCCTCTGCTTTTTCACAGAACACCTTCCACAGATTTTATTGCAGAAATAAAATTCACACGCTCTAAGTCCTACTCACAAATTCAGTTATTATCTCTATTTTAATAATTGCCTGATGGATCTTTCAGCCAATTTGAAACACTTAGTTTCCTGAGACTTTCCTTACTTTCAAAAATTGTTTCAGAAAATAATCACTATTCTACTTGTCAATTCTCACATTTAATTTTTGCTCTCTAAATACAGGTTCGACCAGGTGTTACATGTTCATACTTCCCTGTTTAGCCAGATATCCTTTCTCTCTGATGCACTCATCCTGTTATTGATGAACATAACATTACAGCCCATACCAGTACATCTGTGACTAGAAATATCTTGATTAGATTATACTGCTATGTGATCTAACCAACATAATTATTTTCCAGCTGTTTGTTCCTCCAATTCTATGCCTGAATCCATGTTTTCTACAATAAAGTTCTTGGGGAAAAAGTAATTTTTTGCTCTGTGTTTATACACCTGAGCATAGCAGGACCCTAGTCAATGAATAACACCCCTGAGATCTGTGGTGGTGCAAATAAATTACTACTTCTGCTTACCTTCACAGCTGTACAAGCCAGTTTGCAAGTAACAGACGACTCATCTTTCAGTGTTTTCTGTAGCAGAGGTACGCAGTCTACCAAGGAAAAGAGATTACCTAACAAAAAAAATAATTTAGAGTAATGAAACAAAAGAAAATTTTGGTTACATCTGAAGAAAAAAAAAAAAGATGCCTTTAAAATAAATTATTACCTGTTGAGTTTCTGACATTTATTAGCCATTTTTCCACATCAAAGCGGGATTTAATTAGAATGGAGTTGACAATTGTTCCACACAGAATGGCAGTAGCTCCTCTAATCTGGGGATCTCCATGGTCAGTGTAGTTCAGAATATCTGATACATACTGCTCCTCTAAGAAAATAAGTTACAACTACTTTATTTTAAAAATACTAGTCTTAGACTTAAATGATCCCTAAAAATATTTCAGTGGAGGTACCAATTATTGTACAATCAATATGAGCATATTCACAATATGTCTGCCTTAGTCCTACCTTTCAGGGATCACATGCATGTAATCTACAGATCATACACACCATCTAGACCAATGATCACATATGAAAACTAGTGATTTATTTCAGTTGTACATAAAATGCTCTGGGGAAATTTAAGAAGAGTTTTGGTCAACACTCCACCTTTGCCACTATCAGTATCAAACCACTTGAATACTCCAGCACCCTACTGATCATACTGTAGCATTCATAAAAATGAACCTAATGGCTTAGAAACCACCCACAGGATAGTCTGAAATAAATTAGAAGAGACCACTCATAAGATAAACAAATCACTTCTATGTAGCAGTTGTAAAACAGCTTCAACCTGTCAGAAGCTGTAGAAGCTTGTCCACTGAAACTTAACTCTTATTAAAAAAAAATCTCACCACATGTATTAGTAGTACAGACAGCATGTCCATTCCCATTGGTGCACTATTTGTTTGTCAATACGAAACTGGATTCAGAGTTTTCAGTACAGATGCTGCCTCACTTACTTGGAAACCAAAACACGCTATTAAAACGGAGTATGTGATCTGCAACATACCATACTCTTCCCGCATCGCTTCAAGGGGTGTTTTATACAATTTGCTGAAGAAAGATTCAGGGTGAAGCGCGACAGCTGCTCCAACACAACTTACTGCCAGGGCTTTTACACTAACTCTCACTTCTCTATCAGGAACTAAGGCTGGGGAGAAGAAGAAAAAAAGAAAAAAAAAGATTATTGGTTATTTAAAAGCTTCCTGAATTCTAAGTTAATTAATAACTCTGTATAATATAAATGGCTAGATCAGTCTGGACAAAACATATGAAGGTAGAGCAAGTAGTTCCAGTTTATCAGAGGCAGCAGTTATATGCAGGGGTTGGGGTTTGGTTTTTTTTTGGTTTTGTTTGTTTGGGTTTTTTTCTTAAAAAAAAAAAAGTACCTAATAACCCCACACACTTCCTTCGTTACTGAGAATACAGCTACTACACTGTCTTTCCAAGAACACTGTATTAGCAGAGAACATGAACAAATAATAGTTTAGAAAAGGGAAAAAAAAACCCCAACATCTTAAATGCTCACTTCAGTCATATATAATGACAAACACACTTACCAGTGACACCGACTTCCCAGGTTAAAAAAAGGAAGTAGCAGTGTATGCCTTAAAGGCTTTCTGGAAAATCTTTTCTGATGCTTTATTACTATGCTGAAAAAGTAACTAACCCCTCTTTTGAGCTCCAACAGCCTCCTCTAACAATCACTTATTGTCAAAAAGCTTCTCTTTGATCATCATGTGAAAAAAACACATGAAAAACAGCCACACTAACTTAAGCAAATGCTGTAAGATGTTAAAAGTGAAGAAGAAAGTTCAACTTGAGATTTCAGCTATGTCTCAGAAAACCTTAGGTCACTTCTTTGCTTTACTACAGCTGAATCATTTAAAATATGCGTTAAAAGTGGAGAAGAAAGTTCAACTTGAGATTTCAGCTAGGTCTCTGAAAAAACTTAGGTCACTTCTCTGCTTTACTACAGCTGAATCATTTAAAATATGAAGTTATATTTCCCAAACACAAATGGGTACAACAGCACTTCCTCTAACTGAAGTATATTCAATAAAATTAACATGGAGTTCAAACATAACTGAGTGATAAAGCTAAAATACATAATTTTAATCTTGTTTCAATTAAAACAAAATAGGCATTGTAAACAAAATAAACTGTAAAAATATTAACACAAGTACTTGAAAGAACTATATTCTTCTGAACTTGTTTTTAGGAGTTTCCACAGAATGAAATGCAACTCAAAGTTATTTCCTTACTGAGGTATTGATACATTTATGGTGAACAAACTGGGCACCCAACCCTGATCAAAAAAAAAAATACTGATATTAGACTGTCTTCACAGCTTCATACAATCCATCAACTGTCATAGTCCCAAAGGTTAAGTCATATAAGAATTTTAAAATTGTAAATGTAATTTACTATTTGACTTATGGGTTAATTTACCATAACACTTTTTTAGATGCCCAATGGTTCAAAACAGGATTCATTGTAAAATGGCATAAGTTTAAGTGTTTTTAGGTTTTTCTGTACTCTGGTGTGATCATTTCAATCAGGACTGTCACAGAAAAACCCCAACCCCGAAATCTTCAATAAAGTGAGATTAAAAACCAAAGTAAACCTATCACATTTCCAACTTTGGACAATGAGAGACACAATGAACCAACAGTCTTGAGTGGAAACTTACCTCCTTTCTCCCCAGTGAGCAGAAAAGAGGCTGACAGGAGTCTAACGCAGTGCACTAAAGGAGCAGAATCTCCATCGGTATAGTGACCTATGTCTCCCTTTACCCTGGAGGGCTATTGAAGGCAAAACACAATTTTTACATAGATAAAAATTAATCTTAAATTTAAATAAAACATTAAGCACAACAAGATTTAGACATACTGCACATCTACAAATGTATAAAGGTTGTAATACAAAGCGTGTTTAATACATATTCCAAAAAAAGGCCTTAAAAAGTAATGCTTTCAGGAAGTTTGTATCCAGTATCAGAACTGGTCTATTAATTTCACAGAAACAACAATCACTCTGTAGATTATCTGAATTATTTTGGGTAATAAAGCATCAGTGCATCCTACTAATGCACAGACAAAATGGGTTTGGGCTCTCAGCAGTTTGTGTTCTGTTACAGTTTTGTTGGTGACCGCACTCAAGATTTCAACACCTGTGTATTCACCTTATGTTAAATGAAATCCAGGCTGTAACTCAGATATAATATTCAATCTTAGTTATTTGACCTATAATGAAGTACACCACATACACAAGTTACCTACATTTACCACTAATTTACATGATCATAACTGGTTTTTTGGGTTTTTTTAAACTTAGTTGTTTCAAACTTTAAACCAGACCACTGGGGCTACCTCTCACCTTATTTTCATGATCACCAGGATCGGCTGCATCTTCTTTTGATGTAAATCTATCTACGCTGCTATCAGAAGGCTGCCTGCTATGGCTCATGGTTTTCAACAGGTGAGGCTGTTGAAGAGCTTTAGAAAGAGGCAATTCATGAAATACCATTTCAGATGCAAATTAAAAGCATTTAAATTGAACTTAATTATACAAACATGAAAAAGAAAGTAGCAGTGATCAAAACAAGTGGTTCATTAAAAGTGTTGAAATATATTCCTTATTTTACATTTCAATCTATTTTTTTTTCCCATATCCATTATATGAGTCTTCAGTCTCTTGGAAGTTAGACAGCAGATGTACCTGTGACACTTGCCTTAAAGGTGTCACCAGTTCTGTGGCCATCCATGTGCATGTGTGTATGTGTGTGCCCCCATTTATCAACATACCAATGGAAGAATTTCTGAAAGACTCTGATGAATCATCTTGGAGAATATTTGCAGCCTCATCTTCCTCATCCTGCAGCTGTCCAATCTGCATTCCAGAATACTGTCCTTCAGCACCCTCCAAAACCTACACAGTGCAAGCACAGGACTTAAAATAACTTAGTTTAACACACGGTATTAATTCTCAAACATGCAGTGTTAGTAATATAGAAATAATTTGAAAGTAAATATGAGCCTGATAAATATTAGTGTACAGCTGTGTGCAGGCCCCAAAGCAGCTCCCCTCCTCCTCCAGTATTTGGTCTATTTGAGGCCGTAGTTACATCCAACAGTCCCTGACCTGAGCCATGAACTTGGATATGAACAGTAAGAAAGTCGAACACTCGGTGCATTGCCTCCCCTGCAGCTCACTCTCCTTGCTCCCTTATGCCAAACACAACTGTCCCTTTATCTCAGCAGTTACAAATCACAACCAACACCTTTAACATCACAAATTGAACTTGTCTCCTGCTGGCAAACTCTCCCATAACCTCACTTGTCCTGGATATGCAAACTCAAACTGAGAACACACTGTGTAAGACAAAAAAGGACAAATAAGTTTAAATATATTTTCATTCCTTCATTCTAAACCAGAGACTACTAAGATGGATACTTATAGAAGAGCGTTTGACCCTTGGTACCAATAAAATATATAGGCAGTAGTTATACTGAAAAATAACTATGAAAGACAAAAAATTAATAATTAAAATAAAAGACAGTAAAGGCAAAAAATATTTCATTGTAAGGTTATCAGAAGACAAGATACTACTTCAGTTACTCCTTGACTTTACAAGCACCTGGAAATTGTTCATTAAAAAGCCCGTGTGTTGACAAGTGGGACAACCACTTAAGTCTGTCAATTACTAAAAAACTCTACTTGTAATTACTGCTTGTAAAAAGTATGCAAACTGACACATGCAACAGTTCTACAAGAATCTGCAAGGAATGCACCCTGTCAATAAACACAATTTGTCAGTAAACACCTGCTCACTTTGGTCTCTGCATTGCCTACATTTAATTCAGAGACAGAGCAATTATCATCACTCCTTTGGTTCTTGAATCCTCACACTTGCAGGAGTATTTGCTTAACATAATTGTAAATTCATAACTTTTTGTAGTGGTAAGAGACTATTACTCTTCCAAAGTTACTAGCAGCAAACTTAAGTCAGAAGTTTGATGATATTTGAAAAAAAGAACTTAAGAAATTCAAAGTTTCTTCCTTTTAGCATATTCTGCTCTTGTTCCCAGTAATTATATTTTTGCTGTTTTTATTACAACCTCACAATACACTTGCCTAAGAGAGACAAATTTCTTAAGATAGCTATATTGTATGCACTTGTCAGGTGTTTATTAGATATGTAACTGCTACATTAGTAAATCATGCAGTATTTGCTCAGTATAGGAGAAATCCTTAAAATGGAATAAAAAGGAAAAAAAAATGAGTTGTGTTGCCAAGCAAAAAAGCACAGGCAGAAAACAATGTGAATTATTAGGTTTCAAAAGTATTCCTCTATCATTCCAAATAGACTGTTCACCCTTTAACACTTCCATTAGTCCTCCTGCATTAAGACAATTAAAATATCTATACAAAATGAAGGATATGCTACTAAGAGGACATATTTATGTCAAGTCTTTGATACTGATGTTCTTCCAGTGAGTGACAATCTGTTAATGCCTTTATATGACCTCCCTAGTGAACACACTGATTACAGCTTCGTAGTTTTTAATTACTGCTGCAGTGAAAGTGTTAAAAGGAGGTCAAGCTCTCCTATAGAGGTGTGAGCTGCTGACCTTTGCATTGTTACTAGACGAATCCAAGTCTGGGCCCTCCATGGAAGAGCTCTGAGATATGTCGGGCCCCTCAGTAGAAGGGGATCCCCCCTCTGCCCGTTGCACACTTACAGTTTCAGAACTGTCCGAAGGGGTTACAGCAGAGTCTGGACCTTCTGTAGTAGTCTGAGAGCTATCACTGATTGGTGAGGAAGCCTGTGTACCATCATTCAAGTCCATAGTAGGATCTGACTGGACAGCACTGATCTGGCTGGAGCTTCGACTAAGCACATCATCTTCTTCCCCTTCAGTAGCTGTACTTGTCAAATCACAGCTTGTCAGGTCTACAGAGTCTGACTGTAACGTGTGTTGTGAACGTGGCTGCTCAGTAATTATATCATGTCCAGTAGAATCAGCAGCTGAACTCCCTACTGAGCCAGCTGTCGATACACCCGATGAAGAAGCTAGTTCACTGTTTATCTCACTCTTCATAGAAGCTGCAAAACAGACATTCAAGAGTCAATTAATGGTTTAAACTTGTGTTTCACTCTTCATATGGACACCATATACTAAGGTATATATTAAGAGATGCTAAGGAAAGTGTATAACTAAACAGTTAAATACAGGTAGGGAAATAAGCATCTGTAAGATGCCATTCCATTTATACCAGTAGTTCAACCTGGCAGCCTATCCATAAAAAAAAAATGCAGTCAGCTTCCACTAGAATCAAAAAATGGTTTGGGTTGGAAGGGACCTTTAAAGCTCATCTAGTCCAGTTCCCCTGCAGTGAGCAGGGACATCTTCAAATAGATCAGGTTGCTCAGAGCCCTGCCCAACCTGACCTTGAATGTTTCTGGGGATGGGGCTTCTATCACCTCTCTGGGCAACCTGCGCCAGTGTAAAAAGTTTCTTCCTTATATCTAGTTTAAATCTACCCTCTTTCAGTTTAAAACCATTATCCCTTGTCGTATCGCAACAGGCCCTATTAAAAAGTTTGTCCTCATCTTTGTTATAGGCCCCCTGTAAGTATTGAAAGGCTACAATAAGGTCTCCCTGGAACCTTCTCTTCTCCAGGCTGAACAACCCCAACT